TTGCTCTCCTAAGCCTCACACCCTCTCTATATATAGAAGCAAGAGAGTGATAGGTGGGACGTAGCTGAGCGGTAGGTGAGATGTGGTAGGTGAACGATACCACATTACAAAAGTGTCATTTTACCTTAGTTCAATAATTGGGGGTCAAAATAACAATTCTCCACCTAGACGCTCAATTGAGAAGCTTCGAAGTAAAGATTCCCTCCACCTGGCCCTTGAGGGGCCCTCAGCCCTTGCTTGAGTTTGCTAAGTCCAAACAGTACATGGACTTAGCAATCACGGTTCTTCCGATAAGAGAGTACAACCCTTTTTTTTTCTGACTCCTTGTATGACGAAACGATATTTTTCTTTACTCGTTCAACTTCATCAAACATTCTTATCCTGATTGATCCACTTCCAACAACCCTGTGAGCTTTATTGTCTCCTAGTAGAACGGACCCATCATTTTCTTGTTGCAGTATCTCGAACCAGTCTTTGTGAGGACACATGTGGAAAGAACATCCTGAGTCAAGGATCCACTCCTTACTGGATTCAGATTTTGTGATCATCAGGGCCTCAGCAGAATCGTAGTCATTTGAGGCTACGCTTGCCTCTCCAGAATCTCTGGGCTTCCCCTGAAAACTTTTCTTTCTATCCGGACAGTTCCTTCTAAAATGACATTCCTTGTGGCAGGGGGGGGGGGTGTTATAGCACTTGTTAGATCTCTTAGAAGACTGACTTATGCCCTTCCTTCTAGAGTTTGATCTGCTCTGATCACTTTTGAAGCCTTTCTTGCTCGACCTTCCTCTAACTGTCAGACTATCTCCACTGGTTTCCTCTTTCATGTCGTGCTTCTTCTGGGGTTCTTTAGCTCTAATAAGAGATTGAACCTCCTCCAGAATAATAGTCTGCACCCTTCCATAGAGCATCGCATCCTTGAAATGATCGTAGCTCTTGGGAATAGAGTTTAGCAACAGCAGTGCTTTGTCCTCATCGTCCATCTTGACATTGTCCTCATCGTCCATCTTGACGTTGATGTTCTCGAGATCGTCGATGATCTTGTTGAACTCGTCAATCTGCTCTGAGAAGGATTTGTCTTCATGCATTTTGAAGGAGTATAGGCGTTGCTTCAGAAAGAGCCTATTAGCCAAAGGCTTTGTTAGGTAGAGTACCTTGAGTTTGGCCCAAAGTGCTTGAGTCGTCTCCCTCGACACCTCCCTCAGAACTTTGTCGCCAAAGTTCAGGATTATCAAACTGTGGGTCTTGTCCAGTATGCTGATCTTCTCCTTCTCGGTCATATTGGCCGGCAATGTCGTCGACCCTTGCAAGGCTTCTGCAACACCCTGCTTAACCAGTAGAGCTCTCATCTTTACTCTCCATAGGCCGAAATCATTATTCCCGTTGAATTTCTCGATGTTGAATTTGGCGAAATCCATTATTGTGGCTTGATCACCGCTAACGTCTGAAATCCGCTCAGCTGAGGACCTACTGAATTCCGAGAGCTGTCGCGAAAATCCTCCTCCTTCGCGGACCGAACGACCCGCCTTCCTCTGCTCCTTCGCAGACAGTTCCTCCTCCGTCTCGCTGAACCGCACAACCTGCGGTGCTAATCCAGTCGATCAAAGCTTCCACTGCTCACTGAATCTGTCGCGATTCGGCTGCCTGCGACGCGATCCGCTTGCTCCTCTATTCGTGAATATCGAACTCCTCTTCTTCGTCGCTGGCCGCGAACACCTTTACGCGGACACCTCTAGCCAAGAAGTATGGATCTTCCTACAGACGGCGTCAATTGTTGTGAGATATGTACTTCCTGGCATAGAAATGAAACTCAAAGAACACAAGCAAACACAGATCGTTTACGTGGTTCGATCCAACTGCATCTACGTTCACGGGAGGGAATCAATCAAATAGTTCACTAAGGCAAAAGAAATGGAGAATACATAGCTTATACATAGAGATGAGCCTTCATCTTCCTTCTATGGCCTCCCTCTCAAGCGACACCTTGATACAAGGTCTCAAGATGCTCTCCTCCTCTCTAGCTCTCTAGCTATTCTCTCCTCCTTTGTGGTAGCTTAAGATCTTTTCTCTTGCTCTCCTAAGCCTCACACCCTCTCTATTTATAGAAGCAAGAGAGTGGTAGGTGGGAGGTAGGTGAGCAGTAGGTGAGCGGTAGGTGAGCGGTACCACATTACAAAAGTGTCCTTTTACCTTAGTTCAATAATTGGTGGTCAAAATAACATAAAGTTTTGGGTGTTTTAAATATAAATTTTTAAGTTTAGATTGCCAAAATATTATATTTAAAGTTTTGAGTGGTTGGTATGGAAAAACCCCAAGAAGGACATCGAGAAACATGTGAGTTGAAATTTTGTAAGGGTGGCAGGATTTGAGGGTTAGCGGAAAGTTTAATAGTTATATTAAAATCAAAATACGATTTTTAATTAAAACGGTATATATATAATCTGATTATATAGTTTAATAGGCATGTATTGTTTAATCAGGCATATATTTATTTCATTTTATATGTTTATTTATTTTTGCCTCGCAAATGTCTGTCATTGTGGGCCTTGGAAATGTATCCTCGACCTCTCACATAGGCAAATTTCATGTCTTGCATCCTTTTTTCTCGAAATGTATGTAGTTGGCCTCATGTGCAGGTAGATTTTGCATTTTGTGTTCATGCAGGATCCACAACATATTTTTTGCCCGTTCAACATAAATCATTTCATAAACTGGTGTTGATTGGTGAGGCTCGACATCGATCGAAGTAGTTTAGACTTGATGTTTGCAATATCGCATTCATTGCTCGCTGCCTCTGTTGTATAACTCTTTGTACATATTATCTGTGTGATCCTCGAGTTATGAAATTATATTGAGATCGACAAATGTCCTTTAACAAATATGATTCACGTCTAGAGCGAATCATTTTTGTTGCAAACCGGTTAACCTTACGGATCTTCGAAAATCTTACTCAATTTTTTTTTTTTTTTTACTATGCTGATTTTGAAGAATCTCCATAAATGTCCACGTAAGGTACAACTTCAAAGATTTATGTGCAAGCTTATCTCTATGTGTTGAACTTTGGCTTGCCCAGCTTCCTCCACTCGAAGAAGTCATTTAATCCAAATCTTTTACTTCTAAGCATTGATCAAAATTAAAAGGCCAAGAATTGATCAGCATTAAAACCAGGTGAAGTGGTTGGGGCATGAATCGAATTGTCTCGCAGACTGGTTCACTGTTGAACTAGTTGGACCGGTCCTGTTCTTCAAATCATGATTTTTCTCATATAAGCTGTTTATCATTGCCTACCATCATTCTATGATTAATTTGCATGATTGTGTTTATTTTCTCAAAAGTTGAATTTTGATGCCACTGATGAATATTGCTGATATATTGTGACGGTTACTTTTCCTTCAGGTTGAGCAAGGAAACCCCCGAGATTTGCTAAAAGACACCTGCTCTATATTTTCAGGCTTTGCTCGTGCTGCTTCTTATTCTGTCAGCACTAACAGCTGTGATTAAAACGTTTGGAGTTAGTTGTAAAGTAAGATACCTTTACAAATGAGAAACTGTAGAGGTACCTAAACCTGCTGAAACCTTGCTTGTTTAATCCTTAATGAAGTCTCTCAATGAATTTATGAAATTTTATGCATTGAGATGGATGATTGCGAATAATTATTAGATTATTTTGTTGGGTGCATTTCATGATTGAGAAGCTGCACTCTCAAGCATTATGTCGCAGGTAAGTGTGTTGATTATTGTAGTTTTAGCTCTCTTATGGCAATCACAGTAGTGGATCTATTTCATGCTAATTTTCATCTTTTAGTACTTTTTAAGCAGTATAGTTGAGGGCTTGTTTTTTTGATTTTTTTTATTTTTTCTATTTTTGTTTTTGTTTAATTATTTATATCAATAATTTAGTCGTCTTATCATTATTATTTGCATCGTCATTTTACATAGTAAAAAGTTTATTTTCAATACCCTAATTACAATGAATTTTGTAAGATATATTATTATTTTTAATGAAGTTGGTCGAGATAAATGTAGAAAATGCGAGCATCGTCTTGTAATCAATTAATTGAGTTAACATATTGTGTTGTCATAATCATGTGTAATATCTTTTTGTTCTTTTAGTTCCATAACTTCATTTTGTATCCAATTTTATTTTAAATTTTAATCATTTTAAAGCTTCATTTTCTTTTTCTAAGTTATAAAATTTTATTATTTTGACAGTAGCTATTGAATGTCTCATAAAATATGTAAATGTCAGCTTCAAAAATAAAATAAAACCAATACTCTCAATAACTGATTAAAAATATGATAATCAATCTTTTCTCTAGCATTGCCATAATCATATTTGACTCTAGTTAGCATGCATCCATCTTAATATGTTTGGGAGTAAAAACTTTTTGACTCTATTGGCTGTAAGTAATATTTTTTTGGCTTTCTAATCTAGAAAGCACAATGCTTCAAGTGATCTCTAAAATGAGTGGTTGCAGCACTGTTTTCTAACTTAAACTTCATTGTGTAATGATAATGTTCTGATTTTGATTATCTAGAAGAGTAATCTTTTTGAACTTATTCGAACCTATATTCTTTATTATTTTATTTCTGTTGCAACTTTATATCTGTTTTCACCTTCTAGCTTCTTAACCATCTATCTCCCCCACCAACATTTTCAACATCACAATCATTTTCACCATCATTATTCTCTTTATAAGTCTTATTTTTCATTAACATTAATATAATTTTGTTGCTAATTTATTTTTTGAAGCTAATCCTCATGATTTTCTTTTTCTATATTCATTATCCCACTAAGAACAATTACAACACTTTGTATTGAAGCTAATCCTCATAATTTTGTTGACATGTTACATATATCATGAAATATATATATATATATATATATAATTTTACAAGGGTAATGATATTGTTTATACTTTCATGTCAATATCAGAGGAAGGGGGGCATTAGGATATGTTCTGTTTCTAGGTCCAGATCTTGACTTAGAACTTCTAGAAAATTTAAAATAATTAAAATCAATAATCTTTTCAAATTGTTGTCATAGAATTTTGGATTTTTTCAATTGACTACTTCAATTTGCCTCACTCGAATTCAATTAAACATTAAAAAAATGAGATTTACATACATACCACAAAATTCTTATATATTTATGTCTAACACATAAATATCATATTTACATTTATAAAGATTTAGTGTGATAAATTTATTTTGCTTTCTAATTGTATATGATAGTGGTATTTTTAATGTGATATTAAAGATTTTAGATGTTAGATATGTAAATAAATAAGAATTGTGTGGTATGTATGTAAATTCCCCTAAAAAATTTTGTACTTTAAGACTCATAGCTTGGAACATCTCTTCTGAGAGTATTTATAATCATATTGTAAAATCACTATGCTATTGTTATTTGATCAACCCGATTGCTAATTAATTTTTTCACAACTTTGATATAATAAAAGGTTAAAAAATGTGACATATTATATATTTGTTTTCCACCTGCAATTATTATTGAAGTCAGAAAACAAAAATTTTAGGCCAAGGCTTGTTCAAAAATTTTGCATCAAATTGGTTTTCATTGTATATGTACAAACTAATACTTGATGCTGATGTAGTAGAGATGGCATTATCTGAGTAAATAGATCTTAAATAGATCTTAACAGCATAAATAGATCTTAAAAAGTTAGATTTATTAAGTCTTTTCAACAACATGATTTAATAAATTTGAAATTTAAGATAAAATTGTTGCTGAATTGAGAAGAATTTGGATTTGTCAAATTCTTAACTGAATTTTAAATCTTACTTAAATAGGATGCAATGGAGAAATAGGATTCATGTTGCCGACCCCATTTATTGGGATTAAGGTTTTGTTGTTATTGTTGTTAACATCATAAGATTTAAGTTGAGTCTTAAACTTATTATTAACGGCTCCATAATAAAATTAATTAATATAATTTGGGTTATCAACAGGCTAAATTTGAGCGAGCACAAGTCTGACTCATGTTCGAAATTGTTGGTGAGCATGAAGTTCTTGCTCGACTTAGTTTACATAATCATGTTTGGCTCGAAATTTAATAATGATTAAAAGTTAAAATTATTTCAAAAATATTATTATTTTATATTTTACATATTGTTAATTTATATTTACTTATTTTAAATCAAAGTTATCAAATAAAAATGGATACATTTTTATTCATATTCCACTTGTTCAAAAAATTATTGTTGCGATCTCATTTATTTAATAAATAAATAGTAGACTATTTAACAAAGAACAAGGGCCATTCATGCACGAGTTTTTTTTTATACGACCCTCCATTGGTGCGACCCGCAGGAAATGGAACAAGGTCTTGAGTCAACTCAAGCAACTCGGAGGCGGAAGCAGCCAAGCCGTTTCAATAAGTCGACCATTAGCCTTGCACCCCTTCACCTGTAATGCAGGCCATGCAGCCTTAAAAAACCCTAATCGTACTAAACTGCTAATCGTTCTCGAGCTCAAACTCGCGAGGCATTTGGAGCTTTCATGGAAGTCACCAACTCTTCTCTCCTGTACTCTCGCGTTCTCTTTTCCGTTTCTCGTCGCTCAGGACCTCCTTTCACCCATCTCCCTTCCTCTTCCAATGTCAACCGCCGTTTCCTTTGCTCGGTTGTGAGAAGCTCGGCAAGATATGCTATTCTCGGCGCTGGCTTCGCTGGACTATCAGTTGCCTGGCATCTTCTTCAGGTTCTCCTCTTCTCATATTATTTGGTCTCATCCTTATAGCCGTCGATTTATGTATCAAGAGTGGAAGCTTGACTAGCCGCTATGGGTTCTCGGTCTCAGGTCTACTTAGCAGTTGATGTGAAGTGATCATATTGGTTAATTTTCATAGCTGCATTAGGGTTTCTAACATGAGAATCGGCAATTCATATATGGGCTTGCTTGGCTACAAGTAGGTTTTATTTCCATAGGATTTAATAAATCCTGTAATCCAAAATTTTAGGATTAAAACCTGTAGTCTATTTGCCTATTTGTCATCCATAGGTTTATGACACCAACATGTTATAAGTGTAAATATCAAATTTTGGGTGGTTGATATGTAAATTCATAAGAACAGTGTGGTTTCTATGCAAATTCCCCTACCATTTATTAGCCCTTTACCGTTATGTTCTTGACTAAAAGTTGCTTCTTTGCTTCCTAATTTGTGCCAAGCAGCACTCTTCGAAGGAGTCTGGCATGAGTATAGATATCTATGATGAATCTGGCTTAGGTGGTGGTGCATCTGGTATTTCTGGTGGACTCCTCCATCCTTATTCTCCTAAGGGTAATTACTTTCTGTGATTCTGCTGTGGAAGTTTTCATAGCACCATTTTTTCATGAATTTTAAAATGATCAAATGGTGGATTTCTTTTTTTTTTTTTTCATAACTAAAGAGCTGAGGATTCGCTTGTGCGATTGTTTTTTTTTTTTTTTTTTTTTTTTTTTTTTTTTTTAGAACTTTACATACATACCACACAATTCTTATGTACTTACATATCTAACACCTAAACTCTCATATTTGCATTTATAACACTTTCTTGTGATAAACTTTTTCATGAAAACTTTTTTTTTTCACTTTTAAAATGCAGGTGAGTGGTAATTTTGTTTTGATATTAAGGATATGATTGCTATTCATGTAAATATTAAAGTTTGGGTGTTGGATATGTAAATAAATAAGAATTGTGTGGTGCGTATGTAAAAGCCCCTTTTTATTTATGTACTTACAATTTTGACTGTAGGAAAGCTTTTATGGAGAGGTTCAGAGTCATGGGGAGAGTGTTTAAAGCTATTAGCAGCTGCTGAAAGAGCTTTGGAGCTAAGCTATTCAAGCAAGCTCGGTCATGATCAGTCATGCTCTTTGGATGGACCTATAATTTTGAGAAGGCAAACTTTTTATTTCCACACATTTCTTTTTAGGGAAGCTTACATACATACCACACAATTTTTATGTATTTACATATCAAACGCCTAACTTTTATATTTATTTGCATAACACTTTGGTGTGATAAACCTATGCATGAAAAGCTGTGTTTTAATTTTAAAATGTAGGTGATTGTGGTATTCTCATGTGATATTAAAGATTGAAGTACATGCATGTATATGAAAGTTTGGGTGTCAAATATGTAAATACATAAGAATTGTGTGGTATGTTTGTAAATGTTCCTTCTTTTTATAGATATCCACTTGTTATATGGCATTAAGAATTCCATTTTGAATGTGCTACCTTTTTAGGAATTGCATCTGAATGATAAACTTTGTGAATGCTTAGCTAAAATCTCACTTTTATTGATAAATTTTATAAGTTTTAAATTAGGTTTTTATTACTTGTCTGAGTATCTTAGATTCTTAATCATCATTTCAAGTATTTGTTTTACACTATTAAGAATAGACTCTGATTTTGTTGCTATTTGGAGTATATTTTTGTGCCTGTTTATTGCATTAACTTAAAATATTATTCCAGCATTTTAATACCAAACCTAAAATTTAAAAAGTATAAGATCATCAATGACAAATAAAAAATAGGAGAGTCAATATAAATTTTGATGGGAGCATCATATTTAATCTTGTGAGTGTTCTGTTTTTGGGCTCGGGGAGAAAACACTAACCAAATAAATAATTAGTCAAAATTCAACAAATTTCAAATTTTTATTCAAATTTTGTATTTTAGATATTTTGGAGGTACTATGATGAATATTTATGGGGATGAAACATGGCCTTTAGTTTTTTTAGTAAATCACTTAGTTTTACTGATAATATTGGATGGCTCAAGTAGTTTGTAATTGCAATTAAATCAAAGTATTTGTTGGTTAGGTTGGTAGGCGTTGCTGTTTCATGCTGCAGTTTTACACACGAAAATAACTTTGTGATTTTTTTTTAATTTTCCTTATCCTATCCAGATGTTGGGCTTCTTCAAATTTTGTCATTTTATTCAAATTTTATAATTTTATTCAAATAATGCGAAATGAATGTCTGTGATAGTGTTGATGTAGCTCCAGTGACGGACGTAGTTAGATAGAGTTGTCTTAGATGGTTTGGTCGTATTAACGTCGACCATCTGATGATCTGATTATGAGAGTAGATGTATTAGATTCGACTTTGGTTAAGAAAGGCAGAGGTAGACCTAAGAAGACTTGGGCATGTTGTATAAAAAATTATTTTAATTTATTAGAACTAAATGAAAATATGACATTAAATAGGACGCAATGGAGAAAAAGTATCCATGTAGCTGACCCTACGTAGTAGGATTAAGGCTTTGTTGTTGTTGTTGTTTTATTCAAAATTTGAGCTTTTTATTTTATCCCTTTCATCATTCTTGAACAAGCAGCCGTATGAGTCATGCAGATAGTTTATAAGTAATTATTTGAGGTATTCAATAGAGGAGGTTTTATTTATTAATTTGTGAAATTTATTTTTCAATGTTGTGTCAAATAAATGCATGATTTTTTTATTTTATTTTTTTTTTTTGTGTGATGCAAGTCCGGCTATCTAGTTTTGTGGGAGGTAATTGTGTATAGATGTGAGCCCTAGATTATTTCTGTGTTGTTTGTGTTAGTTATTGACTCTCTATTGTTTAGTTTTTTTGGCAACATAAGAGCCCCGAATTAGTTCACTTTGGCGACAAATGGGGTTTAATTTGCTGTGTGCAAATAATTCAACTGCTTGTTGATTTTGCATGATTCAAAAATTTAGGTGAGAATGTAGAAATGAACTAAACTGCAATTAAAACTAGTTTGATATTTTGCAACAACTTTCAGAAAGCAGAGTTTTTAAATTTCCGAAATTGAGTGTTGTTTAGTATGGGCTCATCTTTTTGTTAAATTAGTATCGTCTTTCAGTATAATTGTTCCAATTGGGTATTAAGTTCTCTTTTAGAGGAGTTAACCTGCAAAAGTTTAGAAACTTTTGAAAGCCTTTTTCTTGATGCCACACTGACAAGTTATACAGGAAAATCTTTCTACTTTAAAAATTAGAGAAATCAAATGACAATTAGGAACAGCCATTCTGGAGCTATTTCGCTCTTCTTCTTTTTTTCTTTTTTGCATTTATCTACTATTTTCTACTTCGATAACCATATTTATTCAATTTCACATGATTTCCTGTCTCTGAAGTTGATTTTTGTTACTGGAATCTCAGGGGAATCTTAAGGCCTGGAACAAATGAGACTAATGTAGAGATTCTTAAAGCGGTATCCTCTTTAAAAAATATTTGGCATTTACATACAATCCCCCCAATTTCTATATATGTACATATCTATCACCTAGACTTTACTTTTTTACATTTATACCACCCACATTTTACATATCACATAAAAAATACCACCATTTTAAAAAGAGTGAAATACATCTTTTCATGTATAGGTAAGGTGGTATGCATGTAAAGAATTGAAGTTTAGGTGTTATATATGTAAATACATGAGAATTGAGTTGTATGTATATAAATTTTCCTTATATCTATTTATTTTTTATTTATATTTATATATTTCCCCATTCTAAGTTGTTAGAATGCTCAAAATTGCCTCACAAGTTGTCCTTTAGACCTCCTTGCTGGGCAAGCTGCAACTTCTCTCGTACCAAATCTATCAGTTCCATTCAATTTTGCTGTTTTCATGCCCTTGGCTATGAATATTCATCCAAAGAGGTATCTTAAGGTAAGTAAATCTTTCTGCCATATCTGCCTCTCCTTAGCCATCTGTTTTGCACTTTACTATATTCTTTCTTTATGCTTATTATTAACAAGCAAAATATCTAATTTCTGTTTTATAGGCACTTTTTATGGCTTGCAAAAACTTTGCAAATGAAGTATCTTCGACGGCCCAAGCAATGACAGAAATTAGTCTTTTCAAAAAACATGTCGAAAGGCTCCATGAACTAGATGGTAAATACTAAGTCATTTCAATTTGAAAGAAAAGAAGTTTATAATGACAGAACAGTGAACATATAAGGGGGATTTACATGCATGTCACATAATTTTTATGTTTTTATATATCTAACACCTAAAATTTAACATATATTTATACGCTATTCAAATTTTTAACATCACATTAAAAATACTGCTAATACTAACTTAAATGAAATGCACATTTACATGCATATGCTTTGAATATGATTGTAATACTAGAAAGTTATATTTCTAAAGATCAAACATTAAGATGTTAGGTATGTAAATACATGAGAATTGTGCGGTATGTATGTAAATTCTCCAAAGATATTTAAATGCATTTAATTTCGTAAATGAAAAAGAAAAGGGGATGGAGTAGAAGTTATATGGATGGGTATTTTGAGCAACTCTTAAGTGACACCATTAGAGAATGAGATTCAATGAAAAAAGGGTTCGGAAATACTGCATGATGCTGCACAATGAGATTGGTATAATGATGTTTTTCAAATATAGTATAAATTTATTTTGAATTAAATTAGTTATAATTATTTTTTTGATGTTATTTGATTTGAACTTTTAGATTACTTCAGAATTCATTACCATCGATAGAATATGAGGGTTTTGATTTGATGATTGATGTTTTATTGGTAGCACTGTGGAGGGTTACAGAATTGCTATCTACATTTTCCAATTTTGAAAATTGTAGAAAAAACAGGGATTCCCAATGTGCTATATCCTGTTTATGCTGAGTTGAATATTTCAGCAATTCAGGATTAAGATTTAAGGTTTTCGGAAATTATTTGCTACCGGATTTTTTTTGTTTAATTTGTTTTCGTTCTATTAGAAGAAAATGTTCCTTATTTAGGGTTTATGGACTGTGAATTATGAGCGTAATTGTGTGCCTCACATCTTAGATGTTTTGCATCACTTTCTTAAGGCAAACAAAATCATATTCTAGGAGAGAATCACCAGAAAAATGAGGTTAATCAAAAGAAGACCGATTTAGTATAGTAGCATATTTGATTTAATTACGTGTTTTCAGTGGCAATTAGGTAAATTGTATATTTTGAAATGTAAGCATGTGAACAGATATTAATAGAACGGTGTATATGAAAATCTCCCAAATACAAATTGGTACTAAGATGTAAAGGTTAAGTTAATTCCAGAGAAATGTCTATTATGTTTGGGGATTGTAAGTGCTGCTAAATGTGCAAAGAATTTGTGATATTTAATTGTGTTGCATGGCATGGCAAGGTTGCACATCACTCAACACTTCAAAGTGATCCTATAACATAAAGTGGAGTCAAATCTGCAGACTGCACTTTGTTGTTGTCTTGCAAAGCACATAATGCATTTATACAGAAGCTTGAAACTTGCAAAACACATTAATTTTAAGCTCGTGTCTGACTCCAAATCCTACTCCAAATTAGAGGCGTGCATTATTTGGACAAAACCAAAAGTCAAATCAAATTGAATAAGTTGGGTTGATTCAATTCAGTTTCAAAAATACATTTCAGTTTTTTTGTTTTTAAAACCTTAAAATTCAGTTTTCTATTATTAATTTGACTTTAATTTTCATTTAACCAAACAAGCTGAAAAAGTATTAAAATTTCTTATTCTATTTTAATTTCATATCAAACAAATCAAAAAAAGTTAAAGTTTACATCATATGCAATATTTGATTGAAATAAGCTGAAGATTCATGAAATTTAAGTGATATTATACATGCAAGATACGTAATACGTAATGTTTGTTTATAATCAAACTCCCCCAAATAATTAAATTTTGGTTTGTTCTTAATTGAACTGTTTAAATTGAGTTAAATTATTGTTTGGTCGTTTCAATTTTATCTAAATTCTGATTGGTTTGATTTTTTTGGATTTTGGTTTCAATCGGCTTGACCAATTTAAAAACTAATCCATCCAAACTGGCAATCGCTCACCCCTACCCAAATTAAATATTTATTCAAAATAATATATATATGATATTTTAGTGTCATAACATGAAAAAGTGTATTTCACTAAAAAAAACAGTATTAGCGGCATTTTTTATGTGATGTTTAAAACTTAAGTATTGACGAAATATAGAAATACATAAAAGTCATATGATATTTAAGGAAATCCCTCTAAATATTTTTGTTTGACAGAGTGTAATCGATTTCCATCCTCATAAATTTGATTGCCGCAGCTTTTATTCTACAGGAGAGTATGATGCAGTTGTTATATGTCTTGGTGCCAAAGCAGAAATGCTTCCAGAACTCTCTGGGAATCTCCCTTTGAGGAACTGCAGGGGAATTATAGCAGAACTTGAATTGCCCGCTGATGTAGGGTACTGTCATCTTCTATCACAAACAAGTATTCTCTTCATATTTTTCAACCAAGTCCCCATCTTTTTTAATGGAAGTTTTACATGTTTACCACTTAATTCATATGTATTTACATATCTAACGCCTAAACTTTAATTTTTACATATATGCTGCCTTGCCTTCGCATGAGAATGTGTACTTTACTTTTTAAAACTTATTTTGGTATTTTATGTGATATGAAAGTTGTGTGGTACAAGTCTAAATATAAAAGTTTAAGTGTGAGATATGTAAATATATAAACTTGTGTGCTACATATGTAGATTTACCTTTTTTTTTTTTTTTTTTTTCAAAATTCAGAGAATATAGTGATCAGAGCCCCTCAATCTTATCTGATGCATGGCTTGCATTCCAAGGTCCCCAAAATTTGCTCATGGGATCAACATGGGACTGGTCTTCCAACAACTATTCATCTCTTGTTTCTTCTTCTGAAGCAGCAGAAGCTATGAAAGAGCTGCTTCCAAAGGTCTCAGTTGTGTATCCAAACATAAAGAAGTGGGAATTTGTTAGAGCAAGAGCAGGGTTGAGAGCAATGCCGCCGCTGACTCCTTTCGGATCGCTGCCGCTGCTTGGGTCTGTCGGGGAAGCGGTCGGACGAAAGGGCGGTAACTGTCGATGCTGGTTGGTCGGGGGGCTCGGCTCGAGGGGACTTCTGCATCATGGTTTGATGGGGAAGTTGATCGCTGGAGCGGTGGTTTCCTCTAATGAAGGAGTGATTCCCTCTGAGTTGACTTCATGGAAGAGAAAGGAAACTTGTGGCATTTAAGTTGTTAATAGGGCTATAAACAAGCAGAGCTTGAGCGAGCTCTAGCTTGACTCGTGTTTAACTCATTCAAAATTGACTCATGTTCGACATTGCTCATGAACAATGTATTCGTGTTCAACTCAATTTATATATTCTTGTTCATATCCAGCTTGAAACTGACTCATTTAAATTAATTAGAAAAAATAGATGTAGGACTTTGGATCCGAATATGTATCAATTCTATGTAATAGAAAACTCAACCATATTACTAGTTGTTATGATTTAAACTTACATATAAATACACATAATATATTATTATACTATATCGCAGGTCTGCTCATTTAGCTGTGTTGGCAAAGAACAAGTTTTTTTACAGCACTATTTGTTAATGTTTTCTATGCAGTATTTGTCATGGTGTTACAATAGAGGTGTTTGGTGATGAATTAATTATAATGAGTAAATGATTATCGGGGTACAATGTGTTTGGAATAGGGTGGTTTTTTTGGTGATATAGTTGACCTATTAAGACAAAAGACCAGCGCATAAATTACTCTCTTTTTTCTCACTAAAAGAATTAATCCAAAAGACCAGAAACCTGCTGAGTTTAAAAATAGTTCATGATTCTTCTAAAAACTACTTTGTTTGAAAGCGACTCGTGTAAAATAAAATGTTCGGATTGATTTGAACTTATTTGTTCAATGTGGTTGTGTTCGCTTCGATAGCCTTAAGAGAGGTAAATTAAGCTTTAAAATAAATAAAAATTTATCCCAAGCCGCCCTTAAAGGGACAAAAATTAGACACATTTGGTAGTCTCATATTAAAATGACTCCTCATAGTTAATTATAAGAAATATTCACATAAACAATGCAGTAAGTAAGAAATACCATCAAATGTTTGCTATTACAAGCAAAATAATTGGTTGACGCAATACTCAAGTATAAGAACAGTGTCTGGGAGTGGAGAATTATGGCAACCTTATTCCTCCAGCGAAAGGATCAATGACAGTTTGTTTAATTGTAAATTGTTTGCTATTTAAAAAAAGGGCATTTATAACATACCGCCCTCTTCCAATGTATTTACATATCTAACACCAAATTTTTACCTTTTAACATTAATACAACCCAAATCTTTCATATCACATTAAAAACATCTCACCATTATTATAACTTGAAAGTAAAATGCACATTTTCATGCATAGGTAAGATGGAATGTATGTAAAAATTAAAATTTTTATATTAGATATGCAAATACATAGAAACTGAGTAGTATGTATGTAAATCAGTTAAAAAAAAAACTTCATAAGTAATTTGTGGACCAAAGTAAGCTGGACATGATCACTCAAGTAATAACTAAACATTGAAACCTTCAGAACGAAGACATTGTTTGTGTGCCTCGATCCATTTCGTGCACGCCGATTCGCCATGCTCGACGATGCATTCATCTCTCAGCCTCTTAGTTTCAGGGCAAGCACAGCAAATCTTCTTCTTTGGCTTTGTGTTTAGATCTTCTCCTGTTTTAGCTTCATTCTGGTTGATTGCTGGGGCTCCGGGCATTGTGAAATTCAGTGCAGACTGAAAAAATAATCAAATTCCTGCAAAGACGGACAAGGATTGTTGAAGAATGGTGTTAATAACATTTTCGAGTTTTGAACAATTGATTTGATGGAATTGAAGTGAAATTAGTTTTTCATTGAACTCTTTGATTGAGAGGGTTGACATGTAAATTTTAATTTTAGCTTATATAACATTTAAATCCTTAACATCACATCAAAAATATCACTAATATTAGCTTTTTATGCGTGCATATTGATATGATTATGATACTAAAATATTGTATATATTAATATCAAATTTTGGGCGTTAAGTATATGAATATAGAAAAATTGTGGGGTATGTATGTAAATAACCGATAAATTCAAGAAAGAACACAACACACAACTAATGTTATTCAAATTTTAATTTTACAACAGCTTATAACAGGGTATAGGCAGAAATGTGCACGTGTTCTAATATTTTTGGTAAAATCAATTTCTTATGAATTACTCCCATACAAAAGTCGCGATGTAATATTCCAAATAAGATATAGCTACTTAAATGATCAAGGTTGGGAGTTGAATTTTGATATAAAGCAAATTAGAAAACAAAAACTAAAATTGCATGCTAAGAATGACAATAATAAAATCTAAGAGTATCACTACTCTTACAAGGCACTTTAACTGCATTTATATTTCTTTAACTAAGCTCAAAAAGATGTTTCATTTGTCAATGAATTTTTCCTATAGTTACCAAACATAGTTGAAATGATAAGCAAAGAAATGGACATATAATGCTTGTGAATTATCATTAAAAATGAGGCCTATAAACAGTTAAACTCGTCTTGCATATCATATAATCATCATAACTTTAACCATGTATCATATGTAGGCTCGACAAATATTTGATAAGTATAGTTTTAAGAGTTGCCTTCGGTGTGACTACACTAATGGAGGAAACAAGTTCAAAACTAATAAATTTACCAACGTATCTCACCGCGGCAGCAAACCACTCTTTTGTTCACGTAACACTAGATTCATAACAGGAATAGTTAAATAAGAATCGCCATTATCATTCATCGTGTAAGGCAAAATCTTGATGGCTACAATACAATAAATTTCTTTTTAAATCTTTGATTGTAATTTTTTTTTAACTTAATGCTAATTATTAGGAAAAAAATTAAGTAATTCCAAAAAAAACTTGAATTATTTAATTCAAATAACTCATTATGACCATGGAATGATGATCCTTGATTTAGAAAGAATAGAACACAAATAATGGTTGCAAAAACAAAATAGATTTTTTTTTTTTCATCATTAGTCAACCACAAAGTAGGAACAATTTATTAATGACACTTACTTTTTCTTCGCTCTATTGTAAGCACTTTGTCCTCCAACATGAGCCAAAAGTTTTTCTTTTCTCATCCAATTTTTAAATCATTAGCTAAAAAATGAGTCTCCTCCACATTGATTTGTGATTGTTTGTTAGAGAGACCTAAAGAGATATTAAGAGAGACAATATGCATCATTATTTTACACACTATGTTCCAATCATATTGGATAGTCTTTGAACCATTTTTAAATTAAACATCGGTATAATTTCAGGAGGTGCTATCAAGGTTTTATAGTAACATTAGGATAAAATATAATAAAATTTATGATATTTAAGTTATGAAGCTTTATAAGATAAATAAGCTCATAGCATGTAGGATGTGAAGCTTTAGATCAAGATATGGATTCCATGACTTCAATTTATAAATCATAAGCTCATATTACGGATTCATGCCTATCTAAATAAAATTAACAAGAGGTGCTATCAAGGTTTATTCCACAAGTTGAGAAGTAAATCAAAACACGTATCTTGAAGACAAAATAAACGAGTATTGAGCTTTCTTCTTCTGGGCTTCGAGAACTATGGGGAATCAAATTGGATGAAAGTCTCATGCAATAAGTTCGATGGGCTTTATCATTCTAAATAGCCTTCAAGCAGTATGATAGCCCTCAATAATTTTATCTGTTTGAATTTCTAATATAAGATGTTCTAAACATCTCCGGACTGTCCGGTAACAGATTTAGAGCAGGATTTAAGCTGGATTTAACCTAAATCTTGCCAGACGTTCGTTTTGGACAAAATAAAGCCTCGGATTTGATAAATCCGGATTTCACGGATTTCGGCCTAAGATCCCGTGAATCGGTGGATTTAGTAAATCCGGGACGAACGCTTCGCGCGAAAAAGAAGAAGTTAAGTTACCTTCCTGGATGATTTTGGATAGGAGAGGAGCAGCAGGAGGAAAAAAAATGGGAGTTTCGGGTCTCTGTAAGCCGCGATCCCGTGTTTGCGTACCCAGCTAGCTCCAATTGCGACTGTATCGCGAGGGTTCGGTGAGGAAGGCGATGGTTTTGGACGAAATCAGAGAGGTGGAGGCACGTGCGAGGGTTTCGGAGAGAGGAGCGGTGTAGGCGTCCCTTGGGTAGGGGTGTAGACGGATCGGGCTCAAAAAATGTGTTCGTGTTCAGCTCATTTGTTTAACTAGCCAAATACGAGCTGTTCACGAATAAAAAGTCTTTTTAACAATTCTAATCATATAGCCATAAGACAATAAGAATTTGAGCAAGATTTAAAAATTATTATTTATATCAAAATATCATTTGAATCTGATTTAATAATTTTTATTCTATTTTCTTAATCAATATTTTAATTGATTATAAATATTTGTAGTCTTGTAGTCAATTAAATACTACTTAATATATATATATAAACTGGATGAGTATTATTTCGGGTCAAAACGAGCCGAACACGAGCCGTTTTGACAGCCCTACCCTTCGGGAAGAGAGGAGTAATGTAAGCGAGGCTTTCCATTCATTTTATTTAAGTTAATTTTTTTAATTAAATTTTATTTAACTTAATTTTCTTAATTAATTAAAATACTATCTGATTAAATATTCTTAAATAAATTCATTTATTCTTTACTTATAAAGTAATTAATTAATTAATTAATTATATATA